GTATGGGGATTGATTTCAAAAGAAAAATTAGCCGAAGGCCCACTGTAGCTGGAATCCTTTTATCCAAATAGCCGCTCAAGACCAGCTTTAATAGTACACCTTTGTTAACACAGCATCTACACCTCCTACCCAAAAATGGCAAAATGACCTGGAAACCCACATGGATGTTTTACCAGTCATCTGGCCAAAATACAGCTACTCTGGGAACACCATAGTAGTATAACAAGCAAACTGTCACTTGAGACAGACTCTGTGCTGAGGGCCAGAATCCTGCACTCTTTTCTGAGTTAAAACATCCAGCGACGTCTGCTGGCTCCTTTGTCACTTTGAAGGAGACTTCTCTGATCTGCAGCCTTCAGAGCTTTCCTGGGAGAGTGGGGGTAGAGGAGCAGACCCTTGGTTGTTGGAAATCTGTCAAGTCAACAGAGCCACACCGATTTACATCAGCTGTGGATCTGTGGCAGACATCAGGCAGGGTAGATGGTGACAACCCCAACAGCACACACTATGTGGATCTAGGTCATAGGGAAGCTCTGTTGCAGGCAACAATCAGGCCTGATGGGGTGACAGCGCTACACGGAGATTTAAAGCTAGCAGGACTTAATGGAGGTTAGTGCTTTTATTGCCCGATCTTAAACCGTGCCAACTCTCAGTATATTAGGAGTTTAAATGGAACGTCAATATCTTGTGCCAGTTTAAAACCTACGTTCAGTTCATCTTCAGCAGCCGCCTTTTAAGACATCATGAAGTGGGTTTGAGCTTGTCCCCTCTAGGGTAAATACAGTGGCTTTGTGTCACTTTTGCGAGAGAGGCTGCCCCTTCCAAGACCCTTTTCTAGTCCCCCAAGTGTTCCCTTGTCAAGTGACAGATCCGTGCCTTCACTGCTCTTTGGGCTGGAGGGGTTTCCGGAGTCCAGCTTTGATTGCCAACTGTATTACCCAGAAGGCCTCATGAGTTTGGCACCTGCAAGACGTCCCAGTGGGCAGTAGTGGCTGGGAGGGACGCCGAAGCAGCTTCTTTGAAACAAAGTTGGGGCTGTCGTGCCCAGAGGTGCCCAGGGCTTCCAGAATGGATTTTAAAGAACAACGAGACCCATGTGCATAGTCTTACCCCCCTCCACCTCCGCGTGAGATAGCTCTGATTTAGCCCTACTGTCCTTCCTGGGCACCCAGTTCTCAGCTTGCTTGATGTAGCTTCCTCACTCCCAGTCAGTCTCTCTCTGTCAGCCTTCACTGCCTTTGAGCCCCTGCTTTTCAGCCTTGGCAAACAACTCCCTCTCCAAAGGTGGGGCTACGGAGTCCCTCTTCACAGCTTTAAACCTGGCTACTATGTTCGAGGGATTGCTCCTTTTCTAGCCTGCTATTTCCTGCCTGGCTTCTTTATTAGCCCCTTTTGATTTAATCTTACGCCGCCAGGCAGGATAATAGCCCTGAGAGGGATATGAGATTTAGATAGAATAATACAAATATTTCCCAGTTTTCATCATGCGAACTGAGGTTCTAAGCTCTTTGGGATGGGACTCTTTTAACATCCGAATAGCCACAATGAGTCAGACCAAAGTGGACAATGCCAGGTGCCCCAGAGGGAACAAACAGAACAGGGATTCATCAGGTTATCCGTCCCCTGTCACCCATTCCCAGCTTCTGACAAACAAGAGGCTAGGGACACCATTCCTACCCATCCTGGTTAATAGCCATTAATGGACCCAGCCTCCACGAATTTATCTAGTTCTTTCTTGAACGCTGTTAGGCTTGAGTGGAAGGTCCAATTAGGATACACAACTCCAGCTACATTAATTATGTAGCTGGAGTCAATGTAGCTTAAACTGAGTTTCCATATTGTCCACATAGCGGAAAACAGACAAGAGCAAACGCTCCCATTGGCATTCCTTACCCCCTTGTCCAGAGCAGGAGCACTGGTGCCGATGGAAGTACCCTCTGAGTTCAATTTAGCGTGTCTTCATTAGACCTACTCATTCAAACCCCAGAAGATTGATTGCAGCAGCCCTGGTCTTCACAACATCCTCTGGCAAGGAGTTCCACGGATTAACTTTGTGTTGTGTGAAGATATACTTCCTTTTGTTTGTTTTAAACCTGCTACCTAGTAATTTCATTTGATGACTCCTACTTCTTGTGTTATGGGAACAAGTAAATACTTTTGCCTTATTTTCTTTCTCCACACCAATCATGATTTTATAGACTTCTACCTCTATCATTTCCCCCCTTAGTCTCCTCTTATCCAAGATGAAAAATCCCAGCTATTATTAATCTGTTATTAATCTCTCCACAGATAGCAGACATTCCAAACCTCTGATTGTTTTGTTTCTCTTTTCTCAATTTTTTCCCAACGCCAAGATAACTTTTTTGAAATGAGACAACCACATCTGCCTGCAGTACTCAAGATGTGGCCATACCATGGGTGTATACAGAGGCAATAAGATATTTTCTGTCCCTTTTTGTAATGATTACTAACATTCTGTTTGCTTTTCTGATTGCTCTTCCACATTCATTAGATCTCAAAGCACTTTTTACAAAGGAAGTCAGTGTCTTTCTCCCCATTTTGCAGGTAGGAAAACTGAGGTGAAGCGCAGGGATATGACCAGTGTCTTAGCATTACTGCAGGATACTGGGCTACTAGTGATTTTTTTGGATGAATATGTTCAAGGGTGGAATTTTGAGAGAGTAGGGGGGCAGCAGCTATGCACACCAGGACGCGGCTTGCTTTTCATCCTGTTCCCCAAACTATCAGGGAATGAGAGGAAAGCACTTATGTTCCATGCATGCCTCCGACACCTGACAGGTGAAGGGAGCTCACGGGGAATGGGGTGAAAAGCAAGCCGTGTCCCAGAGTGCACGGCTGCTGCCCACTCCTACCCGCTCGAAATTCCATCCTTGAATATGTTATAGTGAGGTTCTGACTGATTGTGGATTGGAGACATCATCAAGCTAGGGAGTTCAGGCATCTTCTCCCGTAAGCTGCCGGTGTTGTCTGTTTTAAAAAATGATTGTCTCATTTCTGTTTACAAAAAAGCAAAGTATTTGTTCTGCAGAGGAATCTTTATTAGCCAGTTTCAAATGTCATGCTTGGCAAAGATGGTCTGGTAAATTAATTTCATTAATGTTGGTAAAAAGTGCTTTGAAAGTTTTAAAATGCACTCTAGGTATAATTATTATTTATTACTGGAAGATGTATCCAGCACTTTTTTGTCTTTTACTCAAAAACATGTTTGTCTATAAGTGAATGCTACGCTTTGCAATTTATTTTCATTTAAAATGAGGAAGAAGACTTACAACTACATTTCTGCTTTATCTCTTCTTTGTAAGGTTTATTGAGAAGCAATCCGATTCCAGGTTCATCCTATTTTTCTGGCTCATCATGGTTCAGTTCAGGGGTGAAAGTAACTTCAGTTTCTTACAGGTACTGTCATATCACAACCCACAGTACATCAAAATATTCTTCAATGAAGAGGAGGACGCCACTCGTTCTCTGTGTCTTTCTTCACCTAAAATACTGACAAACCTCCTCTTCGATGGGATATGCCCAAATATCGTATAGATGTTACTTTATGTAGTAGTCGTTTATGGTAGCAACCACTATGTGCTTGGGGCTTTCTGGACCAACAAGAAGGGATGATCCCAGTACTAAGGCAAACAGACAAATAGGGGGAAATGAGAGACAATTTTCCCTCTCATCTATTGGGCTACGTCTCCCACTGAGACAGGGTCTGTCTACACTTTGAGCTGGGGAAGTGCTTCTCCACTCGAGACGATCTCGTGTGTCAATCAACAGCTTACTAGTCAGCAGCATTTGAAATGGGAGCATGGTAAAGTCTGTCCTGGGACTTTTAATGCCCACTAGCAGGGTAACTGGTGTGCAGCAGGCTAGAGCAATATAGATTCATACACCTGCCCCATCACATTATGTAGATAAGTCCTATGTCCTTAGTATACAAATTTGTGCTACAGGCTGCACAGCAGATGTGGGCCTTCATGGGGATAAGTTCCAAGCCTGCCTAGGAGGTAGTATGGAAGCACGAAGAGACGCTGTGGGTGGGAACGTGACAGACAGGTGAGGGTAGGAATGCCAGCTGAGCAGAGAGAGAGGAAGCAGTGTACAATGTAGCAAGGGAGGATAAGCAGGGATGGGTGGTGTAGTGAAGAGGTTTGCAAGGCTGACTGAAAGTGGGAATTTCATGTGATAGAGGATGGGGAGTCATTGGATATGGGCACAACTCCAGGGAAGAAGAGAGAGTTCCTGGGTTAAAACACGGGATAATACAACATAGATTCTATTCCCAGCACTGCTGGTTCACTATGAAATCTTTGGCAAGCCCCTGACTTCCTGGAGGCATCATTTCCCCACTCCTGTACAAAAAGGGGAGAATGGACACTTGTCTAGATCACCTGAGGTTGGGAGACCAAGTTTATTCATGTCTGAAAGATGCTTTGACCGCCTAGGCTGGGAGATGCTACAAAATCACCCAGTATGATCCTCATGGATAAGAGTGTGTATGGATTTAAGTTATTAGAGTCAGAAACAAAATAAACATCCATCTCAGGCCAAGGCAGAAGAGAGGGAAGAATGGGGGATTGTACACGTGTACTGGCTGGGCAGAGACGCTGGCTGATGTCATCAGCCCGTGCCCCGGAGGAAAGGGGGCGGGGCTAGGGTTGGAGGGGGATTCAAAAAGCAGGGATGCCAGCCGGGAGAAGAGGAAGCCGGAGAAGCAGGAAGGGGTAAGGGGCCAAGGACAGGAACCCGGGGGGGAGCCCACGCTGACTTCGGTGGACTGGCAAGCTGCGGGCTGAACTCCGCCCCGGAGGAGAATGCCCCGGCGGTCAGGGAGGACCCCGAGCTGAAACCTGGAGCGAGGTAAACCCCGAATCATGTCCTGCATCACCACAGAGCCGGCATGATGGCCGCCCGAGCAGTCGGGTAACCATGGGAACACTCGGAGGACAGAATAACCCGAGACTATGAACTAAAGAACACAGGTGGAGGGTGGTGACTTTGAGGCAGGCAACCCGGATGATGATTGGGCTGTAAGCCTGAGGGGGAGCCCGAACCCTGACAGGGATCCATGACAAGACCTGCACAGTAAGGAGGCAGCCCATTATGGTGGGTTCCTTTGTTCTTAATAGGACATTTTAACAGCCAGAGATTGCTGGGGGTAGGAATGCCCAGACCATCCCCCAGCGATGACTACGTGGCACGGGCTGGAAGGGGGGAGGTGATATAGGACCTGAACAGTAGGGTTTACTGGAGAAGATTGAGCATGGCTGGGTTTTAATCCGGTTTACTCTGGGGGAGGGACACAAAGGAGAATTATCCCATGAGAGGATCCAGGCCAAAGGGTTTTCTTTCCTGGCTTGGAAATGTTCCCACTGACTTTAACTATAGGTTCCTTTAGGACTCAAAAGATGGGAGGGCTTTGAAAGGATTTGAGAAAGGTCCTGGAAGTCCACAGTATGTGAGGGGATTATGTCCGATAGACCTTCCACAAACTCTCTTGGGTTTCTCCCCTGTAGGCTTGCTGATCTTCAACCACTTGGTGGGTCCAGCATGAGCACGTTGTCTGACACAGGCTATGCCACAGTAAAAGAACCCAGAGATTCGTCCCCACCTCAGAATGGCCATCTGTCTTTGCAAGGAATGTCCCTGTGGCATGCTGGCTCTCTGTGTGAAGGATCAGATGTCAGAACCAGTGGCCAGCAAGCACAGAAGAGCAGATCCTGGTTTGATTGGTGCTTGGCTCCCTGGGCTGCTGAGGTGCTTCTGGGCAGAGCAGAGACGCCATACTTATTTAGATGTCTACATGAATAATGAGGAGGCATCTATCCAATGCTTCAGGTGCTTTTGTCCTCAGATCAGGAGGAAGGGAGCTGACTTTGATGTGGGAGAAGCATGATCGGCCAGCCCAGGCTGGATGGGAAGGAGAAAGAACAACACGACTGGAAACACAACTTACAGAGAAGTAAAGGTCAAAACCATTAGCAGCCATTCCCTTCCCTTCCCTGTCAATACCTTCCTCAGCAGACATCACCTTCCATTATCTACTCTCCCTTCCTACCGCCTCAGGTTTTCAAATTTAGGGGCTTCACTGCATGCCAGAGAGTGGAGCCAATTCCTAGAAGCTCCCGTTCTGTGTGTCCACACAGCAACTGAACAACCTGGCCATACGTGTGCTCCTGCCAAAATGCCACTGTGACTCCCTGGAGATTGACAGTAGAATCAGGGTAAATGAAGGGGAGTGCTAGTCTCATCCATCTGCAGCCACCCAACCCCTCGGTTTGGTTTAGCAAGTGACAGCGAGGCCTGTTCTGTTCAGCCAGCCACACGGAGAAGCTAACTCCTTAGGAAGTAAATAAAAAGCAGGTGCGTACCTGGCTGGAGCTAGGCTTGCCAGATGGTTTAACCAAAAATACCGAATATTCCCCTCCCCCCCCCCAAAAAAAAACACCGGAGAAAAAATTCTGTTGAAAAAAAAAGGGGGGAAACCAAAGTTGTTGAGAAAAAAAAAAGGACCCCGAGAGTTATTAAGCAAAAACAATAATAATAATAATAATAATAATAAAAACTTTAAAAAAACAGCATGGCCTCTTTAAGAAATGCCTTTGAGGCTTTTTGGCTTTAACAAGCAGCTGGCGGCCATCTTGTTTTTGTGCTCTGGGCCAGACATCTCCCCTATGGAACCAGGTAAGCTGGGCGGAGGGGGGGCTGGGCCCAGTTGCTGCGTGTATGTAGGGTTGCCAGGTGCCTGGTATTGACCTGGACAGTTCACTATTTTCGCCTCCTGGCAGGGAAAAAAAATCAGAAAATACCAGGCAGTTCAGGTGTCCGGTATTTTCTGATTTTTTTTTACTGGACAGGAGGCGAAAATACAGGACTGTCCAGGTCAATACTGGACACCTGGCAACCCTAGCTGGAGCAGAAATGGAAGAAGCAGTTTCCCCTCCAGCACTGTAACTCAGTCACCCTGTGAATTGCAATGAAACAAAACACAATTAGCAAGCAGAGGTTACAAAAAGGAAGAGGAAACTTGAAGGAAAGAGATGAAAGAGGTTCCGAAAGAGCTGGCGGGTGGGGAGGAGACGGTAGCAGAAGGCTGGGGCCTAGCCCTTGGAGATGATATAACTCCGGTTAAATGGTTTTCCTAGATTAGGAAGCTCAGGCCCAAACAAAAAGGAATGGCAGAGGGATGAGGCATCAGTGCATTCCTGGAGGGTCAGAGCTCTGAGCCTATCTGGAGCACTGTGTGGAGGGGAAAGAAAACGTACACGGCCAACAGTTTATGGTAGAAGTATTTAATGAGGTTCATAAACATGAGAGGACCCGGGGGACTGAAATGGCTCAGGTTCTCTGGCAGCTTGCCTAGCACACAAACCCCTGTGAGCCATTATCGTGAAGCTTATGAGACGATGCCCAGGCCTGCATTGTGGAAATCAATGGGCAAGATCCTGAAGCTGGAGTAAATTGGAGTCGCTCAGTGACTATTGGTTTCTAAGGATCTGCCATGGTGGCTATACCTCCTTTCCCCACAGTGAAGCAGGACTGAGCCCAAAAGAGATGTTTTAGAAGAGGCTGGAGACTGTTCCTAGAAGCTGTTCTTTCCCCAGCAGTGCTGGTGTCTCCCGTGAGGAAGGATCAGCCCCTGGAGGATTAAAACGCTAGATAAATATAATTTGGATTAGCCTGGAGGAATTGGGGGTTAGGTCAATCTAAATTAATTTCATACCCAATTATAAAAGCGGAATCAATCCCTTTGGCAAACTGCCAACAACCAACAACATTAATAATAATAATAATGAAGATGAGCATGATATTCCTAGGTAAACACAGTAAGAGGTTTGGTACCTTTTAATAGACATTAGAGGCCGATCATGAGTAGAGATGAGCGCTCAACTCCCATTGATTTCAGTGTGTCAGAGCATTAAGCACCTTGCCAGATTGGGCCTGAGACAGGGATAAGGCCATTGGTTAATTGGTGGTTGAGCAGATACATTTAGTGATTTATTAGCAAGTGCATTAGAATGAGGTAAGATACTCATAGTCATTTAGCCTGGGGCTGTCACAGGGTCCTGTGGGAATCAGGCACTCAGTTGATACTGGCCTTGAGTTCCATGGAAACCCCCGGACATAATCCTTAGTGCTGCTGTCACAAGGACAGAGGAATTAATGTCATTTCAAGGGTCTGGAGTGGAGCATAAATTCATTCAATGAGCATCTGATCAGTGCAGCATATTGGAAAGAGATGTGACCACGGTCGACCGATCCGTGTCTAGACTGCTGCGCTGTGCCAGATCAGCTGATTATTGGCACAGTGTGGTGGCCATTTTTATTTTAATGAAGCGGGGTTTATTTAAATCCCCGCTTCATTGACTATGTCGGGTAAACTAGTTTACATGGCTCCTTCGACGGAGCCATGTAGTTTAGACACACCCACAGTCTCATGTATGGCTGTCAGAGCTGCCTCTGTGTTTTTATAGTTGTGACCAGCAGGGTTCCCTTAAGCCGCACCCAGTCAGAGGTTCAGGGCTCCCTGCACAGAGCTGACTGACTGGGCGGGGCTGATGAATCACCTCTGAAGTTTAACAGGGATACTGGTGCCCAAAAACCTGTCAGACCCCTCGTGCTGGGCACACCCAGGGCAGATCTACTCTAGGGGACAAAATCAAGCTAAGATAGGCAACAGCAGCTATGTTAATAGCTTAGTTTGAATTTCTGTAAAACATCCCCACTACCATCACTCTACCATGTGAGAAACTCTCCTATCTATCCTCACTCCTTATGACCTGGTGGAGTACTGGAGCTGATAGGAGTGCAATCAGCACTTGATTTAGTGTGTCCTTACTAGACCCACTACATTAACCCCCGAGAGATTGATGTCCACAACATTGAGACATGGCCCCAGACAGGAAGAGGAGTGCTGTGTCCAATCAGAGCTTTCCTTGTGGTTGGTGTCATTGTGGATCCGGCAGAGCTCTGAGCAATGCAGGGTGTGTTTCATGCAAATTAAGGCTCAATCCTGCAGCATACCCTCTCCAGAAAACGCCCTAAGCACTATAGACCATATTGTTAAAAGGTATCTAGGCATCTAATAGGATTTTCCAAAGCATCCAGGTGCCTCACACTCCAGTGTGTTTTTTAGGCACCTAATTGCTTTTGAAAATCCCAGCAGGCACCTAGATACCTTTAAAAATCTGGCCCAGGTGCTTAAGATGAAGTAAGTGAGTAGTCCCAGCTAGGGTCAGTGAGATGCCTCATGTGCTTAAAGTTAATCGTGCAGGATAAGTTCTTAAAAGCAGCTGTGTCCCACTTTCCAAAGCAGTTTAGACATGAAGGTGCCCGAGTTTCATTCAATAGCAATGGGCTGCTCAGTGCCCCCATCATATTTGAGCATGGAACTCTTCTATTTGACGTGGGTTCTTAATCCACACTCCTCACCATAGCACCACAACATCTTCCAACAGTGCAGTAAGCAACTGGACTAGTGGCGGTCACATGTGTGTTCTCCCCAGCAAGAGAAGTGTGCGCAGTGGGGTGTCTGGTTTGGACGCGGTGCTACGTTTTCCTTCGAGAAGGCAGGTCTAAGAAAGGTGCCTTGCCATGGGAGTGGAAGGTGATGCAGTTTGCAATGCTTCTTGGTTCCTGGGCAGAGTTCGTTCAGCAATCTAGGACTGGCCCCCAAGAGCTGTCTCCTCTACAGATGAGCTTTACCTTTATTGTAGGAAGCTGCTGGGACCACAGTTTTCTTGCAAACGCTTTGTGTTCTTCAATCACTTAGGATGTGTCTACACAGCAAAGTTATTTTGGAATAACGGCTGTTATTCTGAAATAATGTGAGCGTCCACACAGAAATTCTGTTATTTTGAAATAATTTCAATATAACGAACGGCTTATTCCAAACTCTGAAAACCTTTTCTGCGAAGAATAACACCTCTTCCGAAATAGCTATTACGAAATAAGGCGTGTGTAGACGCTCCACTTCTGCTATTTCCTGCCTCACCAGGCCCATTCTGAGTTATTCCTCGTGGGGCTCTAAATCGAGATAGCACGTCTACATTAGGGAAACCTGCCTCGGAATATTCTTGGCTATAGCTTCTTCTGAAATAACTGTGCAGTGAAGGCATTTCTTAGGTGCGTTTAGAAAAGTATTGGCTGGGGTCTTAAATCAGGTCGAGAGTATTTAGGGCATTACAGGGTATGTCTACACTGCACAGAGGAGCGTGCTTCCCAGTCTAGGTGAGAGGACTCTAGCTTTGCTCTAGCTAGCCATTTGAGTCAATGCTTCGGTGGCTTGTACAAGTCCCCACTCATGCTACAACATTCAGGGTACATCTAGACTACAGGCTTTTGTCGACAGAAGTTTTGTCGACAGATACTGTCGTCAAAGCGTGTCTACACTACATTCAGTTCTGTCGACAAAGCTAGCTGCTTTATCGACATGGTAGTGTAGACGCAAAGGACAGTTTACATGCAATAACACCTTCTGTCGACAGAACTCTGTCGACAGAAGGCGTTATGCCTCGTAAAATGAGGTTTACCAGCGTCGACAAAACTGCTGAGTTCTGTCGACGTTATGTCGACAGAACTCAGCGGTAGTGTAGACGCAGGTATAGTTTTGTCGACAAAAGTGGTCTTTTGTCGACAAAACCCTGTAGTCTAGACACACCCTCACACTGCTGTTGCTAGTGGAGCAGCTCAAGCAAAGATGGCGGTGCCAAAGTATCTCTTCCACATGGAAACCTCTGGGAGGAGGGGGAAAAATGTCCAACACCAACACAGCGGTATGAGAAAGGTGTTACTGATGCTGTCCGGGTTATGTCTATACTGCAGTCGGAGGTGTGACTGTGGATTGCATGACTAGCTTTGGCCAAGCTGGCTTGCACAACAATAGCCAAGAAGACATGGCAGAATGGGCTGGATAAGTCTGCCCCAGACCCTGGTAATAATCAAGTGGCTAAAATATGCTGCTGTGAT